TACTCCCAGACAGTTCCCGGGGGAAGCAGTTAACTCAGGCTGGATGACAAACCCCATGCCCTCGACCCTCACACAGTAAGGAGTTTACTGCTGGGTTATGTTCTCTGCCTGAGCCACTCTTCCTTATCTGTTTCATCAAAACACGGAACACAACAGCGGAAGGGCCAGCGGGACCCGGTCCTGAGGCTGCAGCCCAGGAGACCATGCTCTTCCGAGCAGCGTCTCCCCAGCTGGACCAGCGCAGGGACACATTCCAGCTCCTTCGAGAGCCACCGTCTTCGTCTGGACCCCGCGTTGTTCCCACAAGGCCCCCTTCTTCTTGGCTTCTCTCAACAAAAACACTGTGACTGCCTTTGTGTTTGTTTTGTTACAGAATCCCAGGGGCCCCTACCTCTTTGCTATTCTCGAATCACAATTCAAGGACACAAACACACCCCTCCAGTTCTCCTGCTCTGAGGGATGGATGCTCACCCCCACCAACCCCTCCAGGCCAGAATCAGAGCTGGTAGGGACAACACAAGAGGCCCAAAGCAAAGTCACAGCTCTCGTGGGTCGTCACTCCTCTCCCATAACCCTAGAATGGTTACCCTGAAATTACTCTGATATGATCTGCCTTCCTGTATCTTAATAGCAGAGGATGGGGAACGTTTGAAGAGGTAAATAATGTTGGCAGGTGTGTGTGTACACAGGTGTGTGTATCTGTGGGCAAGTACGATTAAAGGCAACTAAATCCTAATGAAAGTGTCCACCTTCATGTCCATTTTTTCAGGCTTAATATACTGCGATCAAGGCAAGTGCCAAATGAAGATGTGACTATTTTAGGGACTTCCCTTGTGATCCCATGGTTAAGACTATGTGCTCCCAATGCAGGGGGCCCGGGTTCAACCGCTGATCAGGGAACTAGATTCTGGGTGCTGCAGCGAAGACCCCTGCATTGAGTGGAGCTTTGGTTGGGGTGGGCTGTGGAATTTATTTTCTGTTTTGCTGGTTGGGGACAACTAAGTTTGTTCTCCCATCAGGAAGGATACAAAGCTGGCGCCTCGGGGCTCGAGTGACAGGTTCTCTAGTGCTAGGTGCTGCTGACTGCTCTCTAGATGTCCAAGGGAACCTCAGAACTGAGCTCCAAGGTTCAGACAGGACTGTAACCTTAGGTCTGGGTCAAGTTTGGAAGCCTTTGGAATACAGGCTATGGTCAGTTTCCCTTCTCATGCCTGTGCTTCCTTCTTTCCTAAAGCTTCTGGAGGAGTTTGCATCATGGAAGCCCAGAGAAGCAGAGGCTTCTACGGCTCTTGCCCAAGCAGAGATTACCCAGCATTCCTGCTGCTCAGCTGACTTCAGAGCTGACCACCCAGAGCATCACCACCCAGAGGGAGCCAGAAAGCAGTTGTGCCTTAGTCCACCTGAGGGAGACAGGGGAAGCTTCACAGAGCAGGTAGCCAGCTGGGGCCTGACCAGGGGAAGAGTGTCAGATAGGTAAAAGAAGGTTACGATGAGGGGCAGGATGGGCACACATGAATGGGTCCTACCGAAGCAAGAGAGCGCCTCATTGAAGCCATTCCCAGCTTAATCCCTGGAAATAACGGTGAGTTCAATTGCTCAGTCGTGTCCCACTTTTTGGCCTCACGGACTGTAGCCTGCCAGGCTCCTCTGTCCCTGGGATTTTCCAGGCAAGAATTCTGGAGCGGGTTGCCATTTCCTACTCCAGGGGGATCTTCCCGATCCAGGGATCAAACCCGAGTCTCCTGTGGTACTGCATTGGCAGGTGGATTCTTTACCACTAGCACCACCTGGGAAGCCCCAGGAATATGGTTACAGGCTATTTGCATTACCCCAGTCATAGGGGTGGGGGAATGGTTAGCAACAGTGACTTTCTGGTACTTTATTTGGCTGTGCTGGGTCCCTCATTGCTCCACGTGGGCTTTCTCTAGCCGTGGAGGGCGGGGACTACTCTCTGTTGTGGTGCACAGGCTTCTCTTGTTGCAGAGCGCCAGGTCTAGAACATGGGCTTGTAGTTGCGCTGCTCAGGCTTAGCTGCCCCACGGCATGTGGGATCCTCCTGGACCAGGGATCCAACCTGTGTTCTCTGCATTGGTAGCCAGATTTTTAATCACTGGACCACCAGGGAAGTCCCAGCAGTGACTTTTAAAGGGCCAAGAGTTTTAAACGTTTCCTTTTTTCCTTTATGAAAGTCAGTGTCTGACCCTTTGCAGCCCCATGGATGGTAGCTCCTCTGTACATGGGATTCTCCAGGCAAGAACACTGGAGTGGGTTGCCATTTCCGTCTCCCGGGGATCTTCCCGACCCGTGGGTAGAACCTGGGTCTCCTGCATTTCAGGTGGATTCTTTACCCTCTGAGCCACCAGAGAATACTACCATTGTCATGTGTAAGAGAAATCTGTGCTAAACACAGATGCTAAGATTTTGTCCCATTTTTTTTTCTAGTTTCATATTTTCAGTTTTTACATTTAGGCCTACAATCCACCATGAATTAACCTGGTAGATGGTGTGAGTAGGGTTGGAGATTTTTAAATATATCCAATGGTTTCAAGACAATTTGTGGGAAAATTGCCTTTCCACCTTTGTCCAAAACCATGTGACCATACATATGTATTTTAAACAAATTAAATTTATCTCATAGATAGGGCTACTTAGGTTTTACATTTCTTTTTGAGTGACTGAGATAATTTGTATTTTCCAAGAAATCTGTGTTCATCTTTGTCAAACATCAGAAACTGTACATAATATTATTTTAGTATCTATAGAATCTGTAGTGTTTCCTCATTCCTGACATTGGTCATTTGTTTATTCTTTTTCTCTTTATCAGTTTTGAAAGAGGTTTACAATTTTTTTTTTTGAGCTTCTTAAAGAATCAGCTTTTGGTTTAATTAAACTTCTCTCTGTTATTTTTTCTTTCCAATGTCATTGACTTCCACTCAACCTTTGTTATTTCCCTTCTGCCTATATTTTGGGTTGTTCTTTTTCTAGTTTCTTAAAGTGGAAGCTAGGGTCGTAGATTTGAGACTTCTTCTAATACAAGCATTTAATGCTATAAATTTCCCTCTAAGTGCTGCTTAAGTTGCATTATAAGATACAAGGTCAACACACAAAAGTCAAATGGATTTCGACATACCAGCAACGAACAAGTAGAAACCAAAATTAGAAAGACAATATCATTTATAACGGCTCCAAGAAAATACTCAGCTATAAATCTAACAATACTTATACAGAATCTGCATGCTGAAACCACAAAATGCTGATAAGAGACTAAAGATGCAAATAAATGGAGAGCTATGTTGTGTGACTCATCATCACATGTCAGCTCTACCCAAGTTTATCTACAGGTTTAATGTAATTTCAATCAATATCGCAGCAGCATTTTTATATAGATAAGTTGATTCTAAGTTTTATACAGAAAGGCAACACTAATAGAAAAGCCAAGATAATTTTGAAAGGGAAGAATAAAGATGGAGAAATCACACTATCAGATTTTAAGACTTTAAGCTACAGTAATCGTGACCATGTAGTATGGGCAAGACTACTGTAAAAGGAGAGACCCACAGACCAAAGAAGAATACAAAGTCCAGAAACAGATACAGTCAAATACGGCTGACTGACTCTCGATAAAGACACAAAAGAAATTTAGTGAAAAAGAACAGTCGTTTAAACAAATGGTCCTAAAACAACTGGGAGCATATAGATATGCTCCCAAAACAAAAACATAAACTTCACATTAAAAAAAATTAACACAAACTAGATCATAAACCTAAACGTAATATGTAAACAAAATATGTATGTAAATATAAAATTTTTAGAAGAAAGGAGAAAGTTTTTGAGAACTGGAGCTAGACAAAGAATTCTTAGACATGAGCCAAAAAAGCATAATCCATAAAAGGAAAAAGTTAATACATTGAACTTTATCAAAAGTAAAATTTGTGCTCTATGAAAAATACTGTAAGTGAATGAAAAGACAAGTTGCAGACCAGGACAAATAGCGCAAAGCACATATCTGACAACAGATTTATGTCTAGAATATATAGATTCTAAACAGCAAGAAAACTAACAACTCAATTTAAAAATGAACAAATAGGTTGAACAGACACTTCGCCAAAAATACGCAGATGGCAAGTAAGCACATGAGATGATGTTCAGCATAAGCAGCCATTAGGGAAATGCAAATTAAAACCATGAAGCGGGAATTCCCTGGTGGTCCAGTGGTTAGGACTTATCGACTCCAAGCTTCCACTGCAGGGGCACAGGTTTGATCCTTGGTTGGGGAACCAAGATCGTGCGAGTCTCACAGTGCCGCCAAAGTGAAAAAACAACAACAAACCACAAGAACTCACTACACATCTATAAAAACAGTGAAAATAAGAAGCACCAAGAATATCAAGTGCTGGCGAAGAGGCAGAGTAACTAAAGCCTTTTGCTGATTAACAATTTCTTCTCAAACCCACCATACAAATAAGCTACAAGAGGCAATATTTTGACATTATGGCTTTAGGCAAAGACACCCTCAACAGTAGACTCAACACAACTTTCTCATCAAAGAACATCTGTGTGTGTGTGTGCGTGTGTGCACAGACTGCATCAGTCATTTCTGACTGTGACCCCATGGGCTGTAGCCCGCCAGGATCCTCTGTCCATGGGATTCTCCGTGCAAGAACACAGGATCTTTCGACCCAGGGATAGAACCCATGTCTCTTAGGTCTCCTGCATTGACAAGTGGGTTCTTTACCACTAGCGCTACCTGGGAAGCCCAGAGAACATATGAAACAAATTTAAATTGTGCACCATATTTGAATGAACAGTAAAATGTTTTTCTTTTCATGGGTGGAATCTTCTAGATTTCAGCCTGTTATGTATATTCACTCTTTCCTCATTTTAGAAAACCTCTCTTATATTCAGCCTTGGTTTTGTCCTGAGTAGGGTCAGCAAACATTTTCTGTAAATGTATAAAATAAATACTCTCACCTTTGCGAACCATTAGGCCTCTGGTGTAACTACTTAACTCTTCCCTCAGCAGGGCAGGTGGAGACAGTATTTAATTTATGTCTAAAGAGCAGGTTCCAATAAAACTTGACAAAAACGGACTGTGACTTGATTTGGCCCACAGGCCCAAGTTCACCACCCCCTGTCCCGGGAGCTGGAGCAGGAGATGAAGCTATGGCAGGTTTAGCACACAGCTGGCGGCAGTGGGGCAGGGACAGCTTCCATGAACAAGAAGCATTTAATGAGCGGCTGCCTGGTTTTGCTGGAGAAACATCCCAGCTGCTTGCATGTACTGGTCCCGAGGTAGTTTCAAGAGATGTCCGCTTCCTAACCCAGATCTGCTTCAGCGGCATGTCCATGATCTAAAGTCCTTTCAGCATCCGTGCGGTGAGGGTGGATGGAACCTGAGGCGTGAAGGGGCCGAGGGCCTGTGTTAAGTGGCAGAGCTGTGTCAAGAGCCCAACTCTGAACTCAACTCCGGACCCACTGGACAAGCCTCTCTTTCCAAAGCAGGGCAGTGCCCAGAAAAACAGGCTTGTAATGTCACCTGCCTCAACACGAAAGTAACTGAAGTGTTTCTCAGGGTTGTTCAGGGCTGCCATGGGAATCGCCTGTTCCATCGGCCCCTCTGGGGGTGGGACCCAGCTGACCTTGACACCTACCTCCTCCTCCAGCCCCTCCGGCGGCCCAAGACAGAGCCAGGGTGCAGGGCTTTGTGCAGCGAAGCCCTGGTGCCATGATACCCACAGCAGGCTTAAAGGAATAGACTTTATTAACCTAGCTCTCAAACACTAGAGGCTAAAATTTAGCTCAACTCTAACAATCTATTTACAGAGTGCTGTCAACAGACCAGCCGGGGCTGGGCCCGGGTCTTCCCTGAACACCCAGCAGGCTCAGCCTCCCAGCAGGCCTGGGCCACTCTTCACCCGTGGCACAGAGGATGTTTATATACACCTGACCAAACCCTCAGCGACAGGATTCCAGGCAGGAGGGCACCAGGTCAACAGAGAGACGGATAGACAGACACAGACAAAGGCCGAGACGGCCGAGCGGGCCCATGGGCCCGGCTCAGTGCTTCTTTAGGCTGTAGGCCAGGCTGCCAGGAACCCTGGGGCCCTGCAGGGGCGGCGAGTTCCACACGGCGGAGCTGGTGCGCTTATGGTAGCGGGGCTTGCTCTTCTGGAAGATTTCCTCCAAGTCCAGTTGGAGGAGGCTTCCGAAGAGATCCAGAAGGTCCGGGGGCTGGTAATACTGGCGGATGACGGCCTGGCTGAGCTGGGTGCCTGCAGGGGGCACATGAAGGGCTGGCTCACTGCCCTGGGTTTCCCCTGAGCCTCCTCCCATCTCCCTGCCCTCCCACAGAACCCGTGTCAACCTCTCCACCTCATCACTCCGCCACCTCCTGCAACATCAACTCTCCTCAGGGTCCTCCTCCATGAAATCGCGATAACCTCCCACTGCCCGCTCCTGCAGCCCTGCTCTGGCAGCTCACGTGAGCCAGGTGCTCGGCTGAGGTCACTGCATGACTACCTCATCCCCACGGCCACCTCGGTGAGACCTGCCCAAAGGCACACAGCTGGTGACCGGCAGAGCTGGGGTCTGAAGACAAGCCCAGCTCCAGAACCAACACGTCTGACACCACGCTTGACGGCCTTGATCGGCTACTCATGCCATCAACAGCGCAGCTCCTGTCATGCCTGGAGCAGGCTGGGGCTGCTGCTGGCTCAGGGCCTAGAGCAAGGCTGAGGAGGAACCCAGGGGGTCAGGGTGGCAGAATGCGTGCCCAGCGCTTGCCCGGTACCAGGCCTTCCTGCACTAGCGAGCTTTGTCATCAGTAGCCCTTCTCAGCTGGGTGCTCTCAGCACCCCCATTCCCGATGGGAAAACCGAGAGTTCAAGGGGGCTGGTGGAGGTCAACCACAATGAGCCTGGCATCCCAGCCCCGCTGACTCCTGCCGGCTGCCACCTCCAGAATGATTATTAAGGAGACGGAGTCAGATTCCGCTGACTGTGGGGCTGAGATGAAGTGAGACTCAAGGGCCCGTGGTCTGTAGAGGGCTGAGCCGGGGTTCTGAGCCCTCCTCCGGCAGTGAGGCCCACCCTGCCCCCAGCTCAGCCAGCTCTGTGAGATGGGCGCCCACTGGCCTCGCTCACTCCTGCAGGCTTTGGACCCGGGCCTGAGGCACCTTCAAACTCACCTGCACTCCCGTTTAGAGACATGTAAACTCGGGGACCAATCCTGCTCAAGGGCCCCATCTCTACCCCCAATTCCCACCACCAGCTGGCCAGAACCCCCGCTCCAGCTCTTCATGCATGGCCAAAGCCCCACTACCTCTCTGAGCTCTATTCCCATCCCAGGTGACATATTTGGGTCCATCTGGCCTGCTGGGTGGGGCTCCCGGGGGAGGCCAGAGTCTGAGACCAAACACCCCGCACCACGCCTGCCAGCAGTCAGCCAGGATCTAACCCATCTGCTGAGAACGGAGGCACCCAGCCCCGTAGATCTGGTCTGCAGGTGAGCCCACTGGTCATGGGGCACCCACCCTTTCCAGGAGCATCCGGAGGTCCAATGCAGAGTTGGCTCAAGACTCAAGCTGCTAGCCCACGGGCACAAAGGGCTCCTGACACCCACCAAGCCGCCGAGCCACCCTCTCCAGGCCCTCAAATTCACAAGTGGGGACCTGCCCTCCTGGGGGGCTCTAGGCCCTGCTCACCTCGGGCCCAGTTGGGGATGGGCTTCCGGGGATGGGCCTCATCATCGGTGGAGTCATCACTGTTTAGATCCATCCCGTAGTCATCCGCATTGATCTTGGGGGGAGCCCTGTGCCCCTGGGGGGTCATCTGATACGAGGTACAAACTGGAGACTGGAAAAGATGAACACGGCTACTGGCTGCCCGCCCTGCCCACTCCTGACGCTAAGAAGCGCCGGGCTCTGGCCACTTCCCCTCACTTCACAGGGAAAAGCAAGAAAAAGGTTCAGGGGTCGCTTTTTGATTGCGGGGGGAAAAAAAAATCAGACCACATACATGACTCCGTGTCTTCCTTTTTCATGTAAAAGTATGTTGCAAACGTTCATCCAGTGTGTGTGCGCGCGCGCGTGTGTGTGTATCCTCTGAATGGCTGCATGGTACCTCACTGGGAACTCCAAGATTTGTAATTTAACCACCTGGTTCAGCTACCTTCCAAGTTTTCAACATCCTAAGTTATATTGCAACGAAAACCCGTCCTCACACTACATCTGTCTGTAACAGCATTAGTAGCCTCAATGCTTGTCGGGAAGGGGCTGATTAAAGAAATTCTGGTACCAACTAAGTGGAACACAGCCACCGAAAGTAAGAAATTAATAAACGGTGAAACAGGTGTGTACAATACATTAAACGAGCAAAAAAAAGGAGGGGGGAAAAATCAAGCTGCCAAATGGTATGCGTTCTGGACTGAACATTTGTATTCTGCCCAAATTCCTATGTTAAATCCTAATCCCCAGTGTGATGGTACCTGGAGGTGGGACCTTTGGGAGGCATAGTCCTCCTCAGTGGGATTAGCTCCCTTAGAAAAGACCCCAGAGAGCCCGTGCTCCCCTCCAGCCATGTGAGGACACAGTGAGAAGACGGCCATCTGTGAATCAGAGGAGGCCCTCACCTGCCGGCGCCTTGACCCTGGACTTCCCAGCACGTCTGCTGTTTAAGCCACCCGGCCTAGGGTCATTTATTATAGCAGCATGAAGAGACTGAGCCGGTACGTACAGTCTGGGCCCCTTTAAAAAACTATGTGTATGTTCGTGTGAGAAAGTGTACAAAATATTTATGAATGTTGAAACATAGAAAGAAATACACCAAGCTTAGAATTATCCCTTCAGGGCACCTTTCTTTTGCTTTGTATTCTTTTATAAAGTTCAGTTTCTTTCTTTTAAAAAACTACCTTCTACTTTCAGAATAAGGAACAAAACATATATCAAAAATAGTGGGGGGAAAAAAAACACTTGGGCTGACTGTATCCTTTCTCTTTCTCGTGAAGTGAAGTTACTCAGTTGTGTTCAACTCTTTGCGACCCCATGAACTGTATGGTCCATGGAATTCTCCAGGCCAGAATACTGGAGTGGGTACCCTTTCCCTTCTCCAGGGGATCTTCCCAACCCAGGGATCGAATCCAGGTCTCTCGCATTGCAGGATTCTTTACCAGTTGAGCCACGAGGGAAGCCCCCCTCTTTCTCATGGTCCTAATACATTCAGCCTGTGCCCCCAGCTCCTGGGCAGAGACTCATCAGAGCCGGGGCCCTCTCCACCCTGACGCCCGGGCCTCACCTGCACATCCACGGTCACGTTCAGGCTTTTGCTGGCAGCCGTGGCCTCCCTGGCCTTCTTCTCCTGCTCCTCCTGTAGCCGCTGCTGCTCTTCCTGGGGCCCAGAGACCGGGAGGCAGGCTGTCACGGACCAGGGCAGTGTGCGCCCCTCCTCCGCGCCAGCCCCAGCACCTCCTGCCCAGACCACCGGGGCCAGGCCACCCCAGCCCAGAGCTCAGCGCAGAGCCCGTGGGAGCCACACGCCCGGCCCTGTTACCTTTTTCCTCTTCTCCTCCAGCTCCCGCTGCAGCCGCTCCTTCTGTAACCGCAAGGCCTTCTCTCTCTCCTGCAGCTCCCTGAGGACCGAGCCAGAGCTGGTCAGGACAGGAAGCCAAGCCCCTGTTCCGTCCCTGCCAGGGAAGCCAGCCCCCCCGGCCCGCTGGCGGGGCGGGCACGCCAGCTGAGGGCCAGCAGCTGCGCTGGGGGCTGGGGGGCTGGCGTGCACACCCGATGGGGTGGGGGGGTTGCTGGGCTTCGAGGCCACCAAACTGGGCCCCCTCCTCCACACAACTCTGCACCTCGCTCTTATCTGCCCTATGATGCGAGCCTAACCCCCTTCCTTCAGAGCTGACGCGAGAATGAAACGAGGTCTTCTGAGTCACTGCCACTCGTCCTGACCACAGGCCCACATCCGCGCCCAGGCCTGACGTGAAGCTGGGCGGGGCTGCTCACGGGCCACCTCCGTGTACCTGCTCGGTTGACCCTGAGCAAGCCACGGAACCTCTGAACTTGTGTGCCCCTCTGGAGGTGGAGCTGCTGGTGTGCCTGCCACAGGTTTAAACAAGGAAACGGGTGGAAGGCGTGTAGCTGCCAACCACTATGACCACCAAACCATCGTCTGTCCCCTCGAAGCCCCCGGCGCTGCCCAGCACACGTCCAGTTCTAAAACCACACCAGCTGTCACCCTCTGCTCCCTGCCCAGGCTCCTGTCTCCGACTCCGCCCACAGGTCAAAGGACACCTTGTGCCAACCATCAAGCGCGGGAGACAGCTCCGATGCAGTGAGCCCCCTGGCGGTGGA